GTCCACTACCCGTTAATTAATTCTTTTTATATTTTTCTTAATTGATTATAAATAAAGAAAGAAAAACTATTTCTCAAGTAAGAAACAACGCAACAGAGTATTTCTAAATATAGAGAAATAATTCTAAAAGGAATGGCGAGATTGTGAGTTGAATTCAAACGAAAAAAAAGGGGACACGTACCTCGCAAAAAGACGTAGAAAGAAGAGAAAAAAGAAAATAATATATAAGAAATGAAAAAAAAAAAAAACGAAAAAAAACAAACCGAAACAAAATAAAACAAAAGGGCGGACAACAAGTCCATCGGGAATTCCAGGTTCCCGCGTGGAGGAGTCTCTCGCGGTGGTGTAAGATGGCCGTTGGGTGCAGCATTGTCGCGGTCCCTTTTGCGGCTTGGCCCAACGTCGGCGTTGTCGGTCCTTGAAAGAGAAGTCTCTCTCTCTCTCTCTCTTTTCCTCTTTCTCTCGAGGGAAAGGAGTAAGAGAGTCTCTCTCTCCTGCTGATAAACGCGCCAGGAATTCCTACGGGCACGGCGGTGCACCGCCACTGTTGCCGCCAGCGGTTTTCGGATAGGACCGAACGAGAAACGTCTTCTATCTTTCTTACTCTTTCTTTCTCACAAACATACACACACACATAGACATGAACATACATATACATAAAGAGACATATAGATACATATATATGCATACAATCTATCTTGGCACAGTACAGAAGCCGATATAATCATTGGAAGATGATCATTTCTGATCTTTGCCTGTGTCATTTAGTAAATTATTATTTTTTCCCACCTCTATCTCTCTTTTCTAGTTTCCCCTTTGAATAATGGTCTTCGCGATCACTTCAAAATCGGTTGGTTCATTTCTCTCTCTCTCTCTCTCTCTCTCTCTCTCACTTACTCACTCACTCACTCACTCTTTTTCATTCTCTATCTGTCTTGGAAGAACACTCCTCGAGGCTCGCGAGAAGATCCATCCATCGAATCGAGTAGTAAGACGTTAAGGTAATTGCTTAATGAACGAGTGTACGGCGATCGTGCTATTAAAAAATACCTGATCGATTGCTTGATCGAGATCGGTTATCGATCGTGTAGTACGTATCGTTAAAACTCGATTGAGTCGCTTCTTCTTTCCTGATTAATCTCTTTAAGTATGATTATTATTGTTATTAGTATTGTTATTATTATTATTATTATTACTATTATTATTATTATTGTTACTACTACTGTTATTATTTATTATTTTTCTTACTATCCTATACTCGGATTCTTAACGATCGATATATATATATATATATATATATATATATGAGATTTGGGATCACGTTGCTTCTGTTTTTGAAATCTGATTTCTGTTCTCCTCCTCTACTTCTTTCTCTTTCTTCTCCTCCTTTCTCCCTCTCTCTTTCTCTCTCTTTCTTTTTATCTCTATCTAATTTTTTTTTTTTNTTTTTAAGAAGGATCTGCAGATCTCGAGGCGACATCAGGGCGGTTCCTGATTTCGTGCACCTGTTGTTTTTGTCGGCGTGCGATAAGATCGGCACAACGACTGCATTCCCTCTCTCTCTTTCTCTCTCTTACTTTTTTTTTTTTTACTTTCTTTCTCTCTCTCTTTTTCTCGTTGATGTTGTTCCTCGTGCCCGAAGCCTGTGCCACGAGCAAAGGTACTATTAAGGTATCATTACGTTCGCCCGGCTGCCACGCGGTTATTCGAAACGCGAGTAAGCCAACTCTTATCCTTTTTCTTAGATCGCCGAAATATTTGTTCGAGAGTCATCGAACGTACATAGTAAACTACAATTTTATTTTCTAGATTATTATTATTGTTCCACATTTAAGAAAATTCATATCTCATTTATTGTTCTCTTATTCAACGTTCATCATTATTAATCGATTCATTGTAATGTTTATTTATACTTTATATCACTAGCTTTCATATAATATTTGATTATTGAGAAAATAATTAATAATCTCTCTCGTTTAATGGATTTTCTTTCTTTTATATTTTACAGTCACATAGGAATATTTCTTCTATTTTTTTTTTTTTCAAATTAAAATTTTTGTTCGTTACATTGTTATAATTGAATGATCAAATTTAAAGTGACAGTTTTCTAGAACATGAGATATTATAGGTGTATATAAAGTAGAGAAGAAGAGAGAGAAGAGAAAAATCGTATTGTATATTTAAATACGCGTGTATGTGTATGCGTATGTGTGTGTGTGTGTGTGTGTGTGTGTGTGTGTGTGTGTGTGTGTGTGTAAGTATATAGAAACGCTTGTGAATCGGTCTTAGGATCAGCCAAGGATAAAGATGTATTGTAGATAAGCCGAGAGCGAGAGTACGTACACCTGCGCAACGGCGAGTCTCTCTTGGAACAGGCCGTAAAACTTAATTAACCCCTTCGTCGAAGGAAGATTTATTTTCCCTCGACGATTTCGCACCGATCCGAATACGTATTACGTCCGTCTAACGTTCACATTCCTATCTAAAGATTTCAAGAAATAACAATGAGAAAGAAAATCCCTCCCCATTTTCTTACAAATATTTGTATTTGTGTATATATATATATATATCTGTCTGTTTGTCTGTCTCTATGCAATTTATTTATTATCGTAAAACAATGTATTACAAGCATACAAAATTTTACAATAAAAATAAAAATATAATTGTAAGAGAGAACATTTTCTAAATATTTATATTTGCAACATTGTTCGACGTATAAGTAATAAATTTTTAATGATATTTATTATTATTGTTATTATTAGATTAAAATGAACATTTTTATAATAAGAGATAATTTAGAATAATTTACGTACTGCAACTTAAGAAGAAAATATGTTAGCTAGAAAGGAAAATGGCTCCCTCACTTTACACACACACACACACACACACACACGTATTATATACAATATATACGTATAACTATTTTCATCTTCCTTAGTTCAGAACTCTTGGTACGTTGGTATGGTTTTTGCCCTGTAACGAGCTCTCGTCTCACTTGGAAACTTTAACTACTATGTACCTAGTGACGTACGGAGTACTTAATTCGAGCCTGTGTGTACACGCGTGCCTTCGAGATCTTTTCTTCAAAATGTTCTTGAAAGACAGAAAGAGAACGAAATAATAAACGAGGAAGGATAATAAGAGAAAGGAAGAAAGAAAGAAAGAAAGAGAAGGGATGTTACTTACATCCATTTTCGGCTAATTATACATCGTCCCTTCGTAAGAGGCACTAAACTTCAGCGGTGTGATCGTAAAAGACACGTCACGAGGAAAGGGCTGCTTCCTTACGAACATCATAATGTATTAGTGTATCTGTGTATTATTTGTGAGTGAGAAAGAGAGAGATAAAGAAAGAGAGAAAGTTCGCTTTCATAAAAAGCTCTCACGGTGTAACGGGACGGGTTCGCAAAAGGGCTAACTGGTTAACCGCTCGTTCGAGCGCCAGTAAACGTTACCCGTAATCGTGTTACAGCCTTTTATTGCGGCAATGAAAAGAAGTATTAATCGATGTACTTACACCTTTATCACTCGAACGAACCTCGGGTCCCGGTGTAATCCGATTTTCGGACGTTTCGACCGACCTCTCTCTTTTGGATCCTTTTTCGGTATTTTTTTTTCTTTCTTTTTTTTGTCTCTTTTTTTAGGAAGTGCCTTATGCAATCATCATCGTGAAAAGTTATTGCCACAATTTTGTTTTATCTCACAATAGAGGAATATCATTAATTTTTCATACGGTTTTGTATGAATGGATCATAAAAATTTTCTATTTAAATTTATTTCTAACGGGCTTATGGAGTGGCTATTTGCTTAATTCGTGAATTATGAATAATTGGCCAAGTTAGTTTGCGAATGAATAGCTTAAATAATTGGGAGCATCGTGGATTTAATGTTAAAGTAGATTAAATAGATAGGTAAGACTTAATGTTATTACGACTTTTTTGGAAGTGATAAAGTTTCATTTGACTATATAGAAAAATATTTCAATTCATTGATTCAGAGATTATATATTGAAATTTTATTAATTATATTCACACGCATAATCAAAGTTAATTCATATTTATACTGAATACATGTTTATTATTATTCACCGCATAGTTTTTTTATTGTTCGAGTTTCAAGTATTTACTTATGTAATAAATTACTTTGATTACGAGTTTGAAATATTTAAAAAAGAAAAAGAGCTAAATTGGCTTATTTGAAATTGCTTGCCAAGGGTTTAGTTATGGGGGTATTCAATTTTCTGTTCTTTTTAAAAATAATGGTATTATAAAAGTCGAACAAGTTAATCCCCTCGTTCTACCAAAAGAGACACCTTTTAACAAGAGAAGATTAAAAAGATTCTGCGGTGTGTAGCTGTAAACTATCCATGATGCTGCTTTTCTTCATCCCTAAGAAAAGTCCCTTTGGCAACAAAGACACAAAGGACATGCCGCTTGCTTTTACTTGGTTTACTTTCGAAAGAGGAAGATGAAATCCGGGGGTTTGACAAAAGGGAAAAAGGACTGAGGGAAAAAAAGAAAACTTCACCGACAATTTCTCGGAACTAAAATGCCCTTGAACCAAAGGCCACGGTTGGTTAGTGCCATTGTAGTCTAGTCCAAATATTATTGGATTTTATCCTGGACCTAGAGTCACGATTTTTTTCGGCATTTTTCTCTTTGTTGTTTGTTGCAGCAATGATGACGTTGACGACTTCATGCTTGACTTTTAAAATATCGTATGAATTTGTATGAACTTTTTTGAAAAAGAAAAATTTCGAAAATACATTTTGTTTGACTTTTTCATAATAATTTTCGTTTTTTTTTTTTTTTTTTTTTGGTAAGTCTATGCAGTATAAAATTTTTTTCTTCAATTTTTTAAAAAATAATCTTAATTATTATATGATAAGTAATGTTTTAATTTTTTTTCTTTTTGCAATTAACAAAATCAAATTAAAGATTGATTATATTACATACGTCAAATTATTTCAAATCAATTTCTAGCACAAATCATATTATAACTTGTAAACTTTTAATTAAAAAAAAAAAAAAAAAGAAAACACCTTAATTAATTTTCCTATCATTGCCACGATTGTTAGTATTGTTCTTATCGAATTTGTCTAAAATATCCAATCGTAGAAATGAACCGACTATGGATCGTGCCGTTGATGTTGCTCTGCCAATACCACCTTCCATTGAACTACTAGCGCTACTACTTTTCGCTATTTTCACTGGTTTCGTATCGAGAGTAATGTTCACGGCGAATTTCAATTCCGCAACGAAAGCTTCCCAAGGAGTGATCTGTAGCAAAAGAAAAGAAAAAGAGAAAGAAAAAAAAGAACATCAAGTATTAAGATTAATGGTTAGTGTTAAAAATTTCAAGCAAGTAAAATTTCCTAGAAAGATTTTTCGAATTTTTTTCTTCTCGTTTTTTTTTTCACTCGACTAGAGAAAAAATATCGATAAAACTTCGATTCGTATTCCATTCGCATCAATTTTATCGTCGAATCATCAAGTGTTATAAAAATTTTGATAGAATTACAATCGATAAAAGAAAAGACTACTAACCTTTTCTTCGACGGCAACTTTGCGTATGTTCCATAAAAATTCAAATATTGCTATGACGAAGGATGCGGCGCAACCGCACATTAAAACGAGAAAAACACCACCGACATTGGGTAAACCTAATTCTATCGAGTTAGCATCTTTATCACTGTCATCTTTTTTACATTTTCCACCGCCACGTTTTTCCCACCATTTTGTTTTTAATTCTGAAAGTGTACCCTTTTCCTGTAGAGTTAATATTGCTCCACTTATTGGAGTTCTGTACGGAGAATCTAAAAATAAGAATTAAATTAAATAGAAATTCTTTCGTGCGTTAGGACGTTATTATTTGGCACGAGTGTCGTGCCAGATAAATTTCTTCGTAAAAACGTATCATGGTGTACAACCCCTATACGGGTCAGTCGTTCGTACGAAACGACCTGTACAATGATCGCTATTAACGAAATGATTTATTTAAAATTAAAATATTGTAATATCTAGTTCATGTATTTATTTTTATCATTATATATACGATTAGGTTATTGTTATCAATAGTTACTTACTACGTATCAAAGCGATCCCATAACCCTTGTTATCAATCAACGAACCAATTTGTTGCAGATCACAATTTCTTTCCATTTTATATTCGATTGTAGTTGATTCCATCAAAAATGCATATCCTTGTTTTTCTTTGAGCACACGTTCGACACCTTCGTCGTTAGTAGCAGTAAATACACTTGGCCTTGCTTCCGACATGGTAGCCCACATACGTTGATAAGTAGAATAATTTGAATCCTATATAAAAAGATAATGATCAATAATTCTTAATCCATTTAAAAATTGATCAAATGAATTAACGTATTCGCATTTAAATAATGATTACTCTAAAAAAAGAGGAAGTTGAACCACCATCGATTGCACCGTATTTGATCTTAGTTTGTTTAGCGAGCTCTTCAACGTTCGTTATCGGATTGTCCATTTTGTCGATGGTCAGAAAAGCTGCCAAGTTTGCTGTGTACGATGATACCATGATCAGTGTGAAAAACCACCACATTCCAGCAACCATACGTACCGATGGTGCTCTAAAATTGATTAGCATCCATGTTTAACTAACTATCATCACTTTTGGTTTAACACATAGCAAATAGATCACGAAATATCAATCATCAATTCGTATTATACACATTAATTATAAAATATTGATCTATCGTTTAACGAATAACGTTAGGTTCCTAATTATTTATCTAAACAATCCAAATCCGAGTAGCTATCTACGCATGTCAAAATGATGAAATATAATAGCATACTTAATCAAACACGAAAATATCTGATAATCAATATACATTATCAAATCGGATCATAAATCAATGATTCAAAATTACCTAAAAGTAATCGAATTTTGGAATCATAAAATCAAACATTAATTATCATTAACAGTCTACATTTTAAATATCAAATGAAATAATTAACATTCATAATTTCGATAATTATCCAAACACTTTTTGCGTTGATTAAGAAATAGAAAAATAAATAATGAGAAACAATATAAAATATCTAAAAGTAGAGGTTTGGAACGCATATAACGTTTCCTAATTAAGCAAAGGCTAAAGGGCCAGGGTATGTAAATGGTCTCTGTTTGTTGACGATCCTTCTTGTACGCGTGCGCACATAAATGAGTGTACGTGTACGTGCGTGTGTATGTGGTGTAGTGTAGTGTAGTGTAGTGTTTGCTACCGTCTCTTTCTCTCTTATTGAACGAAGAACACGAGGTTCTCTGCGTAGAAGAGTCTCCACCATGGGGGGGGATAGTGGCGGGGCAACAGGCAAAGAGGTATGAGGTATAAGGGTTAAGATAAAGGTAGGTGGGTGAGGGGGGATGTATAGAAGGTAGAGGAAGAGGAAGACGACGGCAGTTAGGTGTCTTTGGTTGGTTGTCTCCCAGTATGTGGTGAGCAAACATGCACGATGTCACGGACAGAGAGTTAGCGCCGTGCCGGCGCTAATAAGTGGGAAGCCGACTCAAATACGTCCGGCAAACAGCGCCTCGTTAAGCTTAATTGTCGTGACTAAAAAAAAAAAAAAAAGAAAAAAAAAAAAAAAAGGAACAGAAAAAAAAAAGAAACGGGGAGTCCTCGTTCCCAAAAGAAAAACAAAATTATAAAAAGGAAGAATCAGATGAGAGCAAGTTTAAATCTTTTTGTTAGCCAACTAACTTATTTCTTAATTTGATTATTGTTGTAAATTAATTTTATTATCTTTGTTTTTTGTTGGAAGGTAAAAGTTAGATCGATTAATAATAATAGGGTCTTTTAGGATTTGAATTTTTCGTTCATTATAACCGAATTTGCATTTTAAATATTTAGCGAGTTATTTTTTCTCTTTTTAATTAAGTATTTTATAAGAGAATCTCTTTTTTTCTTGGTTTTATGTTTTTTTTTTTAATAAATTAATGTTTTTATTTTATAATTATATGTTTATGGGAATTATTAGATATAGATTTTAAGTTGAGTTATCGAGTATTATGAAGATATTGGAATTCGTTGGCTTCAATTTCAGAATATGTAGAATTGTGAATCGTTGATTCGGTTGGTTTCCTAAAGTTGTGAAATTTAAATACAGAGATTTCTGAATAACCAGGTCACGTGCTTATGATTCTGGATATAGCTGAAGATTTAATGTTATTAGGATAGGGAATCAGGCTTCTGTATATCCGGCTTATCGAATTCAAGTATTGGGAAAGTGAAATTTGAATAGTCGAATATCTCTACGGATCTAAATGAGAGTTTTAAATAGCACTATCATTTCTAGACTCATTGAAACTTGATATTAAACTTACATTTGTATCTTATCAAAAACTTGCAGATTATTATTACTTAAAAAATAAATTAATACTTACTGAGGAAGAATGTCTGAACCTTGTTGCATAAGAGAACCCACGGTCAACCATAAAGAATTCTTCAAATCAAAATTATTTTCTAATTCTTCAGGATCAGGATTACATGGATGAGGATTATTCCACTCTCCTGGTGCCATTCTAAAAAAAAAAAATTAAAAAAATTAAACAAATTCACAAATTAAATTTCTTACACGTTTTCCTTATCAAGATAATTTAATCGTTTTATTTACCTGGCTTGCACGTACAACATCAAAGAGACTATCAGATAAGCAGTAGCCATGTAAATCCAAACATCTGTAGACAACGGTTTAAGGAAAGAAAATAGTTCAGGTTTTTTCTCTTCTGGTTTACTGAACAAAATACTGATACCTGTTAAAAGAAAATAAAACAAGAAAAAGAAAATAATTATCCTTTTAATTTTTAACAATAAGTATAAAGATCAATTATTTCGATATTAATATATTTATCGTTATACCTAAATTCATAAATGGCATAGTAAAATCTACTGCACTCTCTCTAGCTGATGTTATAGTCAAATCACATATGGCAAGATCAGCTTCCTAAAATACACCCGTTCGTTCTTTTCACGAATTAATGACAAACGTTTGATAATTTAGATTTCACAATTACTGTTACTTACGTGATCCAAGAGTAGTTTTATCAAACCATTCCAAGATTTAGTTTTAGGTACGTAAGAACCGTATTGGTTATCAGGTACCAACATGAACGAATATTTGAATTTAAGAATTTTTGCAATATTCTCGATCACGTCTATGCAATATCCTTCGTAATATTTTTTATCGATAGGCACACCTCGTGTTGATCCATCTGTCACTTCTATCACGTATGGTTCACCCTATAAAATGGGTTAGTTTTTTCTTAATTTAGTTCAAATGTTATTTTAAATGATTTTGATTATTTATTAAATATTATTTAGTTTACCACTTTAATGGCAATCTTAAAATGATTTTGTTCGATAGATTTGAACAAGTAACTTTCGAGTTCCTGTTTAGTACGAGTAGAATGAACACCTTCATCATCCCAATATCCCATTTTTATACTGTTGAAACCTCGGAAATCCAAAAGTTGAAGACTGAAATCTCGTCTACGACCAATCTCGTCAATGCTGATTGCTCCTGTCATCTTCCCTTCTATGGGTACCTGTAATAATCGATTATTAGATTTATGAAAGATCTTAATTCTTGATTTTGAAAAGTGGAGACAGTATTCTAACTTCAGTTTTATTTCATTCAATCAGTTAAAAAAGAAAACTATTTTATCAATATTTTAAAACATTTATTTGTTGATATTTTAAATTAAATCGGTCAGCGTATAAGAATAATTTATTAATATTTATAATAAATACAGAATTTTGTTAGAGTTGAATAGTAATTTTATTAAAGGAATAAACATTTATTTAAAATATTGATATATTAATAATGATGGTCAAGAATAAATTGCAATTTTTAATAATATATGTTTAAATCGTGGAAATTTAGAATCTGACTATATAAATTTTTATAAAGTATATTTTTCACAAGTGTAATCTGAGAAATTGTAGGTCGGTAAATACAAGATTCGTGATTTTATTCGTCGATATAACCACCATGGTCTTCTTTTATAAAAGGGAAAAGATGTCAGTTAAGAGATTAAACATTAAGTTTACCTCTCGTATGATGCTGGTAATGTTGGGACCTGCTTCATATTTCTTTTCATCGTCGCAAGAGAGCGGTACCGGGATGATAGGAATAGGATCACCATTATTTTTGTTCCTATCATTAAGGATATTCAATGCGTTGTATAAAAGAAATACAGCATCGTAAAGGGCCGCACTTTCTGCCTAAAAATATAAAAATATTTAAATTTGATCCATTCAATGTCATCTTGACTATAATTTTCTAAAAAATTCACTTTTCATTTCACACGATTTTATTTTATTATTTTATTTTATTTGTACATTTATGAATGTTTCTACATTACGAATATGAACGAAAGAACGATTGAATTATGTTAGATATCTTGCGAAGTATATTAATCATATTTTTCATAGATAGGGGAAGTCAAATGTAATTGTATTCGAATCAATCAAAATATTCTGTATCGTTTTTATCTATTCACAGGTAAAATAGGTGTGAGTTAATTCCCAATGCGTGAGTTTACGTCAATCAGGAGCATTAAATAAGCCAATAATTTTGCTGGACAACCCGTATAGTTCATTTAACATTCCTTCACAAGTCGAGTTTGTGCGATTTGATTAAGTACCATTGTGTGTCGAATAAACGAAGCGATAATAAACGACAAAGATGATACGATCGTCGGTATGTCCATCTTATGATCTTCATTAATATTTCATTTTAATTAATACGTTCAATTTTCAAATAAGTCTTTTTCATTTTTCGATTACTGTGTTTATACGAACATTATTATTGTAAAAGTAATGGGAGAAAAAAATACAAAAAAATGGTTGCTATATGTTTTTATAAAAATAGAGACAGCAAACATACGACGTATCGAAACCGCGTTATTCTCCCGTATTTGTGTGTGTAAATGTGTGTATGAGTAAATACACGGTCTAGGTCACGTTGTTTATATTCACTTCGTTTGTACTTAAAACAGAAAAAAAAGGGTCAAACCTTCAGTTTCGTTCCAACACTCGTCTTGTTAACACGTAGAAAATTTAGCAGCTTTTTAAAACCATTGTAAAGAATTTTATAAAATTAGTATATAATAATTATTGAAAAAGTAAATTCACGATTTATTGATGTTCATCTTTGTTTTTAGGTACACAGTTTAGGTCACACCGTTATTTATCGTATACGGTTCTTTGAATAATATTGAAAGCAGAGGACAAGGCCAGAGCTTCATTTGCGTTCCAACGTTCGTTTAGTTAACAGGTAAGTAATTTATTGTGAATAAAATTAAATAATACGGCAACACACGTATATGTATTTAAAAAAAAATCTTATCTCCGTAATTTATTTTATATTATTTTACGAAATATTATTTAACAATTATTTACTTTTTATAAAAAGTATTGATGTAAAATTCAATGCTTCTTTATTATTATCAGGTCTCATTGCATTCATTTGCATTTCAACGTTCGTATGGTTAAAACATAAATAATTTATTACGAATAAAAAATCGTAAAAATAAATAAATTTCTTTCTCTCGTGAAAAATATCGAAGTGCATAAAATCAATGCCAAAATTATTATTCCTTATATTATATTGGGGGAAAAAAAAAATTAATTTCTAATGAAAAATAATATCGATGTGTAATAAATGTTTCGCTTTTTTCTTCTCTTTTTTTTTTTTGATTAGGTTTCATTAGTATAGAATAAAAAGAAAAAAAAAGAAGATTTTTATAGGATTGTAGAATGTAAAACGAATCTGGTAGTAGATAATGAAAAGAGAATTAAGGTGGTGTCGTCAGGTGTTCCTAAGCACCGTGTCGTGAGTAGATTCCGAGGAACGAGTGTTTCAGGTTCTATCTTCGAAACGGCATATACCGGTTGCGGGCCATCGTGCTACAGAGTTAATGAAGAAATTACCTCGAGCGGACTTTTGAAAGCGGACAAGCAAGCAAGCGCGTTTAAACAATTGTTTCCGCGTGGAGTCTCGAGTAGACGGAAAACGAGTTTATTATAAGCTCGACGAAAGAGCCATGATTAAAACATGCTGATACATGCGGTACTATCACAACGACCATGACCGCACAACTAACGACGACAACCACCAACGATGATGACGACGACGTTCTTGTTGACGGGTCAACACATTTTCATTTAACTTTTTATACTTTAATATTTAATTTTCTCGTAAATATAATTCAACACATTGTATTTTCGTATAGTATAGGTTTTCTTAGTTGTCTTAAACAAATTCGTACGATTGAATAACGTTAATGCTTTTGTTTATTATATTGGTTTTGTACTAAATTTAATTGTTATCAGTTTTATAAAAATTTAGAAATATAATATTATAAAATAGATGTAAAAAATTATAAGAGAAAAGAATCATGCTTATCAACAAAAAATCTCTATACTAACAGCGAGAGTTAGTAATTAATCTAATAATTTAATAAGACTTAATTAGTAACGTTGAACATTCTGTCGATAATTTCTTAAAGTAAATAGTAAGTAAGTTTTAATTAACTAGGAAAGGATAAAAGAAGATACTTCGATAGAGTTTTGTTATATATATATATATCTATATATATATAGATTCATATTTTCGATGTAAATTACGAAAGACAAAAAAAAAATACGAGAAAGAAATGAACTTACGAAATATCTCCTATTATCGAATCGGATTTAGTAACGATAGTTGTAAATTGGATGTATCGTATAGAGAATATTATACGAAATTGTGTAATTACCAAGTTAATTCCGTCGACATTGTTCTGCCTCAAGCTGAAACCGGTAATGTTACCCTGGGTCGTGCCATTTCGTATTTCAAGAATCGGTAGTTTCGAGGAGTCCTGCGAATCGAAATTGGTAAAAGTGGTATCGCGATAGTGGTGACGGTGGTGATGGTGCTGGTAGTGATGGTGGTGGTGGTGGTGGTGTGGAGTTTGGAGATATAATATAAGGACATTATTTTCAAGAATGTCTACGGCACACGTTGAAATTTCTTTTCTATGTGAAATCGAGCCAAGTCGTCGAGCCTTTTTCTAACATAAACGACGAAGACTATTACAGGAGGTTCATCCTTGAGAACCATTTTTCTAACTATCCAGAGTCTGTCGCATGATCGAACGATTTGCACTGCTGCTACTCCCTTTTTAATGGCCCATTAAGATCAACTTTATTTCTATCGGAAATCAAGTAAGAAAAGAAGAAGAAGAAGAAAAAAGAAAAAAAGAAAAATAACAAAAAGAATTGGCACGCTTATCACTAGAAAAAAAAAAAAAAAGAAACTTACTTCGATAGAACTTTTCTAATGGAGGAGTAAGATTAAGGTAACCCACGTTCTGCTTCTTTAAGAATATACTCGGTTAAAATTTCATCTTTTAAAAAGAAGCACACAATTTTTTTGTCTTTTTTATTTGAAATATCTTTCCAACAGAGATTGTTTATTCATTTAAATTACCGAAAAAGGCAGAAAATTTGTTCTCGTAATGTCTATCAAATTTTTAAACAACGATAATTATTTTGAAATGTTTCTGAAAATATTTGATTTATTTATCGTCAATCGAAACGCGGCAAATTATTTGTTATTTTTAATCATCTCATAGGATTTATTTCGTTTTAATTTAAAGGATAAAACGATGAATAACTGAAATAGCTGAAAATTTGTGTAATATTCGTTTTATCTTTATAGACAAAATTTTTTGTATTTTATTTTTTTCAATATCTCTTTTTTTCTTTTTTAATTGAGATATATAGTCTCCCCTAATTCTCACTAGTGCCCTCTCCCACCTGTAAGAAAATATATTAAAGTTTATCATCGAACATAATTCATAGGACTTTTCTTTTAATCGTTTATCTTTCGTGGTGCTTGTGCTTGCACGTAGAAAATCAATAAGCGATCAACAAGTAATTTAGCCGGGGATCGTCGAACAACGCGTTCGGAGAAGAATAATTACATTGTTTCGACATAATGAAGTAGTAAATACGAAGTTATCGGTAAAACGATCAATGAACATCCGCGAGTAATGGAGGTGAAATTTCGAACGATGTATCCTTCGTGTCGAAACGATACAACTATCGATTTAATATCCGATTTATGGACGATACATACTTATCGACTTGGCTCGAAATTGATTATTAAAAACCATATCAAATAATATAAAAAAAAAACAAAAAAAAATGAAAAAAAAAAACGGTAAAGCTGATGAAATCAATGAAAATTAAATTTTTTTCTGATAAAAGCGTCATTCCTTAATTTACGTTCTTTACGTGAGGAATTTATTTTCATTTAACAAAAAAAAAAAAAGAAAAATTACATTACATAAAAAAGCCGACGTGTAATTGTAATTAAAAAAGATTTAAACGAAAAAAAATATATATTTAAAAAATTCTATGTATTCGAATGTATACAAATTATATTTCCTATCGTAAGAAATTATTGTTAAAATTTTGTCTATATTAAATATTATTATTCATTAATATAATTTTTTTTCTAATTGAATAAAATTATACGAGACGTAAATGAAGGAATGTAGGTGTGTAATATATACGAATGATAAATAATACCATGTAAGTTATGATGAAATTCGTGTATTCACGAACCAAATTAACTTCCTTAGCTTGATGGAATACGTGCATTATATTTTCAGGTTTAACATCGATAATAATGTTATCGATCGGCAATGTACTGATTTCCTTTAATGTCGAACGATAATTAGGCCCGGTACCAAGATGACGAATGGTGATTGGATTATCCTTATCCCTCTTCATAGTGAGAGCCTTTTGAATTCGTGAAAGGCCGTCGTTGGTTTCGTAAATCGCAACGAAGCTTTTCCATTCGTTCCAAACCACAACATCCGCGATAGCCTGGAAAGAGATTACCAAGTTTAAAGCGGTCCTTAGATTTTTAGATTTTGGAAAAACTTTTCTTCTTTTCGTATGATATCTCACAAGAAAATAAGTATGGTAGATATTAAGAAAAGAAGTAAGGGAAAAAGGAACAAAAAAGAAAAGAAGTATTAAAAAGGTGTCCCTTTTTTTTTGTTATCGAAAATCGATCGATGGATATTTAAGGACCCTTATCATCTTTTTATATTTTTTCTTTATATAGTATCTTTCTTTATAAGGTGAATTAATATTTCAGTTCGCGTTTTTTTTTTTTTATATTAAATTACAGTTTCTGTTAGAAAAATAAATCGAGCATTTAAATATGATGTATTATTTATTATTATTATTATTACTTTTTTTTTTTTAATTGTAATAGAGATGGTATGAGATATTAATTATTTTCATAAAAATGTAGATTTAATAAATCTTACCTTGCTTATCATTTCACTATCAGGATAAATATTGATCGTCATAGGTGTTGGATTAATCGGATTACCCTCCTCATCTAAAATTAATTCCTTGTGTTCTCGCCAAACATATTCGAAGTGTGGTATATCGAAACGAGCAGCTATACTCGCAACTATACCTCGTGTATATGGGCTTGAGGGCCCAAAAATTGCCGCAACGCCTTCTTCCAAAAGTTCGCAGACTGTGGAAAAGCAACTGAGTTAGATAAAGAAATAGAAAGAGAAAGAGAAAGCAAATCTTTACAACTTGGAGTTACCACGAGAGTGCTTGTGAAAGATTTCACCCGCAAAAAAAAAAGAATGAAATAAAGAGAGAGAGAGAGAGAGAGAAAGAGAGAGAAATAAAAAGAAATAAAGGAACTGCGAGCAAAGGACTTTGATTTAGTAGCCGGCGGAAATACTTCACCTTGTCTTCTTTTTCCTCTTCTTCTTCTTATTGTTTTTTTTTTTTTTTTTTTTCGTTGAAATGATAAAATTTAGTTTTATTTCTTGAATTTTCTTTAGATCTTATGCCATGACATTAATTTCATTAATTATTATGATATATTTTATTACTTATTAGACTTACCTGCCAGTTTCGTTTTAAAACTATCCGTACTGCTGTTCACTATTTTGATAGACGAACGTAATTCAAAAGCCGGTGCTGGATTTTCTATCGTCGTAGCGAATGTTGCTCTTTCGAATGCCTCTTTGAGCTCCATATCTTCTTGATGAAAAATTGCACCTAAAAATATAAATAAAAATATGAATTTAAATTTAAATTGAATTTTTCTTTTTTTTTTTTTTTTATCGAGACTATCATAGATAATAAGATCTCTATCGTACTTCTTCAATGAATTTTATTTTTGTATTGATGATTTGTAAAAATATAAAAATTTATATGCTAAATTAAGTGATCGTTTTAAAATGATAGTTCTTTTTTTTTTATAATTATAATTATTTATTATTTCATCGTTTGTTTTGTTTTAATTAAAGGCGCGAAGCCAGTATGAAGAACAAACAATAGCGTAATTTGAAAATCAACTGGTGCTTACTTATCGGTAAATAGTAACGACCAACATATCGAAGACGGTGATGTAGAGAAATTCGAATTACAGCATGTAAACCACCGTAATTTCGCTTGGAATAATTTAATCCATAGACGAGCATGTATGTCTGTGAGAGAACGACGACGATGTAATCACGCACGTTATTAGATTCGTGGCCATTCCATTTCTGTGACAATAATTCCTACTCTGGATACGTATTTCGAATTAATCGGTTAGAATCGACTAAATGTGGCTTTACCCTGCTTTGTATCCTGGCTAATATTCGATAATGTATTTATCATCCTTTTCATGCTTACCAAATGCTTCACACTCTACCATTTTTGTTTTATCGTTAATCAAAATTATTCCTAATTTCTTAACACATGTTCCAGTCATTTTATTTTATTAATCTATTTATTTCCTTCTTTTCTCACAAGTTTTTCATTATGCTTGTCAAATAATTTCTAAGTCTATTTAGTTAAAATTTACTTATAAAAAAAAAAGTAATTAATATTTGAAAATAAATTTCTTTTTTTCAAACCATATATAAATTGGATAAATCAAAATTTTTATATTTGTATAATACATTTTAATTAATTTCTTTAGTATAATATTGTATATAATATGTATATAAAAGTATCGTTGCACAAATTTAATATATTTTTTCGGTTGGTGATACGAAATTATGTATTTCGACGATTAGGCACACGGGTTATTTTTATACTTCATTTATATATATATATATATATTTTAAATTCATTTTCTTCTTTTTTTTCTTCTCTCAATTTGTCACACGGGCCGCATCATTGCAAACAAGTAGTATGTGGCAACGCGGTCTACTACCATTTTCAACATCGAGCCATTTCATTTTCTTTTGAAACTCTTTCCGGTGGCAGCTACGGCCGCTTCGGGTACCATTATATCGCGAATAAAGACTCCCGAGCCCGTAAAAGTCACCTTTAGCTACATATTCGCCAACTCAATGCTGTAACTTTTTAACGGCACGGTTAAGACACAGACACACGTCACACAGGCTTATTTTTTTTGAATTAAATATAAATTATACTACGTTCGTCGATTATTTGTATACAGCCATAGAAAAATCGATGTAGAAATGGGTGAAAAAAACTATTCATTCGATTGAATTAAATATAAACTATATATATTTTGCGGTATTTTGAAGTATTTATCGACTGGATCAAATTTTTACAATTTTTCGTATTATCAAAGACAAATTTTTCAAACGACATGTACGTAAAAATAATATATTTTGTTTTATTTAATTTTTAAATTATATTATATATTCTTGAGTTTTATTTTTTAAGCTTTTATTTTTATTAATTTTTATGATTATTTATTCATAATACAATATACATGTATTTATGTTTATAATAACTCGTGCAAATTGTTAAAAAATGGAGAATCGAATTGACAATAATTACGACGATAAACCACGACATCGCTGGATGTTTCAGTTACTAGCTCATCTAAAGTATAATATTGTTTATATGGATTTACCAATAACTATTGTCAACCTCTCCTCCATTTATATTGTGAGATGTAATGGTGCAATTTTTACCATAGAAAGCGATGGAAAGAGAGATAATATCAAGTTTAAATCGATCGGCACCCCTCGAACTTATGGGAAATCGTGAGAAATATGTGATAGTGTTGTATACGTTCGATTTCCATATAAAGGGACGTTCCTGGGATCAAAAAGAAAAAAGGAAAGAAGGAAATAAAGAGAAAGAGAAAAAGAAAGAGAAAGAGAAAGAAGATACGATATTTTTCAGCGTGCATTTTTGTTCGAGGACAATGCATCCTTTTTAAGGACGAAGAAAATGACTTCCATTTTGGTAAGAGTCATGTGATAAGAAAGATTCTACATATTTTTCCAAAAAATGTATTACAAATGATTTAAGGATATGCTTTCGCGGTAAAATTATTTTGAAAAATATCGAAGGAAGAAGTATAAGGGATAAGTAGTAATGGCGTAATATATCTCAGACATTTCGGTGATCATTATTGTAAGTTAAGAACATTATTGTGAAATTTATCTACAATACAAACCTAGAAAGTTTGACGTTTGAAAAGTAGTAAAAGTATGGTAGTGATCAGACATATTTTTCGTAACACGATAGAGATCCCTTATATATATATATACAATAACATTAAAGTTTCATGATAAATGATTGTAAAATGAAATCACTATTGAGAAATATGTAAGCGAAGAACAAAAATAGTTCTAACTTTCTTATATCGATCATGAATTATGATCATAAGATTCTTTCCGATATCTTATATATCATGCTTATCTCACCTTGCAAGTTAGATTCAAGCTAAGTAAACTGAAGTAAGAAAAAGAAAAAAAAACAACATGTGTGCAGATCACATGTGTTAGAAGTGAAACCTTCAAAAAACTAAGTTTCGAGAGAATGAGACGAATGCAGAAAATCAAGTGTAGGATAATTGTAGGGTTTATTTGTTATAATCTAATTATTATAATATTGTTACCACATTCAACAACTATTTTATGTTTTATTAACATATAATACGTAAAATATTACACAGTAAGCAAGTTTTCAATTTGAAGAAATGAGACGAGTTGCTTATGGAATAGGAAAAAGTGTATAGCTATATTCTGTCTCATTCTCTTGCAGGCTCAATTCTATATGTTTGTCTCTTTTTCTCTTCTTATTTAGGATCTTGGTCGTTTCATAGACGTCCGCTGCTCTGTTACACTGCCGCCTACCGCTCCGTTACATCGCCGCCTACCGCTCCGTTACATTTTTTCAAATCACACCCATTCTAAAGAAGTTTTCACTTCAATAAAACAAAACAAAATTATAGAAGAAGAAAATTATTAGAATTTATATTGAATCAAGTAGTAAGAACTTAAGACATGTCAAACGAGTATCTTTTATGCGTGTTAACAATATCTTTCGATGTTACGCGCGTGGTTCTTCTATCTAAAACGGAAGAAACGATTTATTTATTTTTTTTCTTTTCTTTATTTCCTTTCTCGTAGAAAACCGAGGATATCTTTTCCATTCCTCTCTTTTCTTTTTTTCTATCTTTTTTTTTCTTTTTCCTGACGGTAAAAGTTTGCCGAGTTCTTGAAACCGTGGTAAATCCGCGAGTTCGCCAACGGGCGAATAGATATCTTCTTCAAAGAGGAATCTCCTCTTCTTCTTCTTCTTCTTCTTCTTCTTCTTCTTCTTCTTCTTCTTCTTCTTCTTCTTCTTCTTCTACTACTTTCTGTTCTTGTTTTTTTTTTCTTTTCTCTTTTTATTTTCTTCTATTTCTTATTTTAGTACTACTTTTACTTTTGAATCCGCGATACCGTTTCTCCGTGAGCATCTCGCTCGGCATTTTCTCGTCTACGCGAGGGAATGGTGTTTATCGGTGAACCAAGTTTCGTTGGTTAACGGTGCTAATTGCGACAGTGAAAGAGAAGGAGAGAGATAGTGAGAGAAAGAGGGAAAGAGAAAGAGAGAGTGAAACGAAACGAAAGCAAAGCCTAGGCGCATCGCATCGAGCCATTAAGACCTGTTGAGCTTCCAGTGAAACGTCGTGGTGTATATCCTTATTTCCTACTCTCTTTACCTTGTCTGATATTTTTTTTATTATTTTTATTTATTTATTTCTATTTGAATTTTCTAATCTTTTCTATTCTATCTTTCTCTTCGCTCTATCGAACTCTTCATATCGGTTTTTGTATTATATTATTTTTTTTTTATATATTTTATATGTAAATTTTTCATAGATATCTTTTCAATTTATTTTTTATTTTTTACCGCACAAGCGCTTTCATTTTTTTTTTTCTTTATAAAATATTACATTATATTGTATAAATATTATATTTTCTCTCTTTCTTTTATTGTTTGTTTCGTTATTGCTTACTCTTTTTTATTATTCATTTAAATTTTATTTTCCATGTACGAAGTTAAACATTATAAGCATCGTTTTTATTTTATTTTTTTTTTTTATACCATGTTTTCATATAGAATACATTTTTATTATTTATTTTTTCTTCTTCGATTTATTGTTCAAAAAAACGAAAACATTTTATTTCGTACATTTTCTTTAACAAAATCTACCTGTAAATTGTGTATCATTATAATAAACATTTATGATACGATTATTATTATATATTATTTAGAAATTGTATTAGGAAATATAATTTAATTGAGAGTTGGATACTGTAATCTCTTGTCAAGGGGGTTGGGAAGGGGTAAAAGAGAGTATAGGGTGGGTAAGGGTGTTGTAGCCAAATTTACGTAAAGTTATTATCCAGGCCGGAAGTTATAATTTCGTTTGAACAGTTAAACGATAAATTTGTCTTCTTTCGTAAATTATGGAGATTGTAGATTTCCTTTCGTTCACTTTTTTCTTTTCTTTTCTTTTTTTCCCCCGTTGTTTTTCCCGCTTCACTCGTTTTTTTCTTCTATTATCAGATCTTTAAAAAAGAGGGAGTATTCATTGGGGGAAAAAAAAAAAAACAGTACGAAAGAAAACTTTTACCGTGGGGAAAAGTTTTTCTCTCGGCCGAGAACTTTGTGCGTGTGTGCGTGTGTGAGTGTGTGCGTACGGCGTGGTTGTTGTTTTTAAAATGGTAATTTCCAAAACTCGAAAATAACCTCGGTAATCGATGATTTATGCGTGTTCTCGATTACGCTCGCCCGTTTTGAAATTT